TCAATGTATTAATATTGTTATTATAAACAATGAAAATGACATTAGTGTATAATGAAATATTTCTCAATTTTCTAAACATATTTTATTGGTTCATTAAAATTGAATTTAAAAATTTATCTAAAAGTCAAAATAATGTCAAAAAACCAAAGATTCTTGCCTTCATTTTACTCGACAATAAAAAGTAGGTAGGTGGGGGACTATACATAACAATAATAATAATAATAATAATAATAATAATAATAATAATAATAATAATAATAATAATAATAAATTAGACTGATAAATGTAAAAGTAAGTTTTATTTTCCATTAATTATCTCCAAATAAAAATGTTCTGTGGCCAAACGATGGTAACATTATATGAAAGCATGCAATTGATTTCTAGTTGACATTAAATGTAAAGGAAGACACAATTTATTTAGATAAATGAATAACTAATTATTATTCACTAATTTTGTACATAATGTTTGCATATTGTTTTTTTGTTCTCTGACATTAGACAGATAGACAGAGTAAATAAACAAGATGTAAACAGATAACTATTTAAATATTCTGTAGGTCAGGATTAGAAGGAATATACACAATCACCGTGTTGGTAATAATAATTCTTACAATAGTAAGTACCACAATGCGCGCGCACACACAAACACTCACGTTATTTAACTTTGCAGAATTTTTTGACATCGTGTTTATCTTAAATTGTAGTATATTTAAAGAATAGAAAATAACTGACCACTGTCAAGATGTCACATCAGGATAAATAAAAGCTAGAATGAGAAGCCACAGTAGTTGACCGCTTCTCTTCACTGCTTATAATTCAAATAAGGAAGATTATGAAGAAAATAAGCACTTGTGTCATGAGATTCTTTGAGCTATCCTATTAGTTATAACTAGTTAATCAACTCTGTACTTCAAAAAACCGCATCTAGATGAGATTGGTTCTGGGCGTAAAGAAATTGCCTTTAAACTTAGTTAATCCATTTCTTTCCTATTTTAACATTTCGTATTAGATCTGTCTTCTGTTACTCCAACTTTCTTATTGTTTAGTGATAATGTAAAAAACAATATAATCACTTTATTGGTTATTCAAGGCTTTTGACATCAGTAAACGGTTTTATCAGTCTAATTATTGAACCTAAATTGATAAAAGACAATCTTCTGACAGGGACAACTTCATTTGATTATCTTTAAACACTTACATCCTGACAAACGTAGACCACTCCTGTTATCAGAATAAATATCGGAGTGACAATGTCGTGCGGTTTCTCTATCATCTGCAATAGAGCTATTTAACATAATACTTTCATCAAAATATGAAAATCGTAATTAGCGAATGAACTTTGATCATTAATATACCATTATTTGCGGGAATGTTATGTAGATTAAGGGTTAGAAAAGCCATTAGGTATTGTATTTCCACCAATCAAGTGTCAAAATTTACTAGTTCTTTTACTACAATTGTTATCAGATACTATGTGGTGCCCTTATTAACAGTGACATCACATCGAACTCTCCTTATTAACACTATCATGTGAACTCACAATCAAATAACTTACTTGCTCTCCATAAAAATTCGAATGCATAGGTTCATTTTTCCTACACTATAGTTAATACTCGAAATTTAGGCGCACTAATTGACTCTCAAACTCTGTGATTGTTATACACACTTGGCGGCGACGAGAATTCTGATACTGTTGAGTGATTAAATTTATTTGAAGTTCGTTGAAGTCGTGAGCCGATCCAGAGTATACTACCAGTGAAAGACTGGAAACACTAAACGGCCACTCCGGCCTAGTATGGGACTCCTCAGAAGTGCGCACTCTGACCCCGCGGGATTCGAACCTAAAGCTCCTGCACATACATAACTGCCTAACCTCTAGACTACTGAGCCAACGTCCTACGGATTAATGTCTAAATTTAATCAATCAATAACATTAGAGTTCACGAATCAATGATGAAGTTTTCCAATCATTAACTTATAACCAAAACATAAAATATTTTAAATACGAAGAATTTGAGTGAACTGTCTACTGCCCAACCTGTTTGTGTGAATATCTAGAAGAAAGTTACATTATTATCCGTTGTTTAATACAGGTGAATCTTATTTAATACAGGTATATCACTCATTCCACCTGGAGCTCCTCTCAGTCAGTCAGTCAGCTACAACGTAGGACCAGGCACATATATGCATCGGTCCAGGTTGCCATAACTCATTAGCACAGCAAGATGAACACCGGATTCATAGGAGTGGTTAGGAGAAATATTGCATATAAGGATACAGTACCGGAATATAGAATTAGTTCGTAGAAAGAAAGATATGAAGCGATTTTAATCTCTTAGTTTAAGGGAAGACAGGTAGTGTATACACCGACGCCATTGTGATCGATTCTGAGCCATGTCACCAACCATCGGTTACGAAAGTCACGCCGACCCCAACCAAGTAGTCTGCATCTACCAACATGGCTCAGACTAGAGGTTAGTGTCTTCAAGCACTGATGCCACGTTTTGGTTTGGCAGCCCCTAATTCTCTTCCAGCCATCTCTAACACCCGTTAGCATTGTACGTCATGGTAATCGGTGTTCAGGCATACGTAACACTTGGCCCAACCATCTCAGTCGATGAAGATTAACAACCTCATCAACTGATTTACCATCATTACCTAATACTTTGAGCTCCTCTAGGATAAAGAGTCATCCAAGTCCCGGATAAAGGATGACTGGGCCTAGGGCTACCAGTCCTGCCTCGTAATAAAGAACCTCACTACGAAACGTTAACCAGAAAAAGTAATCTAAACCGTTTGAAATTTGCTTTGAGAATTGAAGAGTTTCCGTACAAAATAGTTACCACGCCTCAAAGTGAAAGTTTAGGTTATTCGAAAGTCAAGAGACCAACACCCTTTCTAACAACCAGAACAAATTTATATAGGTAAATGAAATGTCCGAATAATATGAGAGAACATGATGGTTATCTAAATAGCATCAAAAATGAGAGGATACGGTCTATTCACGTTTGGAATAAGTGGAACCCATTGAGCACAATCTGCGGGGAAAAAAGCTGCACTAGGATAGATATTATACACTGGCTACAAAGAAAATGCCCCCCCCACACACACACACGACAATTTGCACTGGAACTGTCTATTGAAGCATAAAAATCGCTTATAGAACAGGAACCCCACAAATTTTTTTATTCTAATTTGTTTAGAACCTAAACTAAAACACTTTCAATCACTCATTAAACCCAGATAAATCTAGGTCTTAATCAAGTAATAAATGTACAGAATCGACCAGTTTATTATTTAATCTTAGATGTTATTTAAAGCACTAACATGATGTGTATATGCACACCTTGTTTATAATTCGAATGCAAATTGATTTCACTAGACTTTCTAGTTTTTGCATCTTAATGTAAATAAATAAATATGGAATACATTAAAAACGACTAAGATTTAGTCATTTAAACAAAAATTAATTTTAAACATTAAATTCTTATAGCCCTATAATAAATTTATAATAAGTAATACAAACTACAAATTGACTTTTGTTCTTAAACATTCTTTCAGTGTTCATTTATGTGTGATAAAACATGAATGAGGACTTTGTCTGGTGATCAAACTTACGTTCATTCAATAGAATCTATAATAGCTTTGATGGTTTAGTGTTCAGGATTTGTTGATCCGGAAGTTAAATGATATAATACAGAATGACAGATATTAAGCCACTAATTAAAGAAATAGTTATGAATGTGTAATGTTTAATTATCAGTTCAAACTGATGTGAGATACAATTATTTGTTATATATTGCACTGAAGTGAATATTTCCACAAATATTAAAACAAGTGCTTTTCACTCTTTTTGTTACAGCATTCATTAAGTAGTATATAAATCTTATCACTGGAGAAATTTTCCTTGCCCTCTAAGATACTTTCGTGCTATGTAAAAAGAAATGTACAATAAACTAGAGCTAAACCATTTTAGAACTTTTTGCTAACTCTAGGTTTACTAGTTTTACTTATCTTTACAATCTGTCAAAGTTATCACAAAACACTAAAGGAAACTTAAATGTTGGCAAGAGAAATTTTTTAAACTTGCCTTAGGCATATTCTCTTCAATAAATCAAATGGTATTAGTGGACGTAATGCTTGCATTATACGATATATTTATACAAAAAGATATACAGATAAAAAATGTTTGATATTATAGTAAGTTTAATAGTTGAGATCATGAGTCAATTGAAGATAGACCATCATGAGAAACCCAAAAGCACTGGATGGCCGTCCCTTCCCATTGTGGGACTCCGTAGTAGTGCACATCCACGATCCCGCCACGCGAACGCTTAACATCTAAACCACTGAGCCGGCTTCCGACGGTGTTAATGTCTAACTTCAACTAATCCACGAAATTGAGCGATACATCCACCATTGTCTTCAGTGGATTATTATCTCACAACAGACTCGGTCGGACTTCAATGGTCACTGCTTCTCACTAGAATTCCAGGAAATACCTCTTGAAGCCAATTTGTTTAGTGTTTTACAATTTACCTGATACAAATATTTATCAGGTTTGTTTGAAAAATAAGTTTACTTTAAACTACCTATCGTACCGTATATATATGAGGAATATAAATTGTATACAGATAAGAAAAAAGGTTATTTAATAACCACAAAATGTAGATGTCACATGTCTTAATAACGTTTATTATCTTTATGCTTGATTAGGTTTAGAGGTCTTTCACATTATTCAATAAGTCCATCATGAAAACGGTGGGGAAAATAAGATAAACTGGCATCCTCATATCTAATGATTTTGTTATTTTAGAGTTCACTGACTAAAACGTTATTCGTTCACATCATTCATCTAATGGAAAACGATTGAATTAGTAGTTTGAAATAAAAATAAAACGTTCTTCAAACTAAAACCCCAATAATTTCTAACATCAGGATCTACTCAGTAAACTCAATGGTAATATTTATAATAATAGTAATAGTTATTTTAAACTTACATGCTTCTTTGATTTCTGTCGTATTGCTGATAACTTTTTTCGGTCTTTGTAGTTTAACTACTTTGTTCCACGCTTCGCAATGACAAACATATGTGTCGAACCATTCCTCCACATCTTTAGCTCTGACTTCCAAGCGTAATTTCCAACGTTTACCATCTGGATCTGGTAAATTATCTGAGTTCAATCTTTGAATCTCCAATATTCCGGACTCACCGGGACCTTTGTATGGTATTGTTTGTTCAGCACATTTGATAGCGGCATGTGAAACTGGTTCGGCGACACATTCAATCGTAGCTGGTTTATTTTTCGTTGTATAATATAGTGGTTTAGGATGCTGAATAAAGATTGGAACACCCTCTAAATGTGTTTCATCTGGTTGTACTAAATCCTCTTGTGAATCAGCTGGAATAGGATAAGAAAGTGTCAGGAAAAGTTTAGCTATAGTCAACAGAAATCTTTGTAACATTATTTTGTGAAATATTTAAGATTGACTTAGTAATTCTAGTGTATTAAGTTTTCGAATTAAATAAATTGATATAAGCATTTTGAATAGGATTAGGTAAATACAAAAAATGAACTTTTACGGAAATGATTTTTATATGCATCTTATTCAACAGATTTTGCTTGATATGAAACCGACCAATTATGGAGTGATTTATTTATTCTGTATTAACCAATCAAAACGAGAATTTACACACAATTAAACCAATCATCTCATTGAATAAAGTTAATATGGAACCAAAATGTACTACTTGAAATCACTCGCTTAAGTTCAGATAAGCCCTTCAAACTATGTTGGATTAATTAGTGTTTTTGTATATTTAATAACCACAAAAATTATTGATACCATTCGCTAAAAAATATTTGATTGGTTTATTCCGTATAATTTGGGGTATGAAGAACTGGATTATACATTATGAGTTGAAATTTAAAGTCAGGTAGTTCATTGAATAATGTTTATGATTGCGAAACTACAGAAACAAAAGCCATAAAACACAAGTTAAAAAGATAATACGAAAAGACGTCTGGATAGAAAATTTGTATTTCTCTTGTAATACTAATAGACTTAGAAGCTTATTATTCATGTATTCTCTGTAAACCTTTTAGTATCTTAGTAAAATCTTTCTACCAGCTGCATTATTTGAGAATAGACTAGGAAATAAGTAAACAATTTTACAAGTATTCTTCTAGGCACCTTGTTTAGTTTTGAATTATAAGCAATAAAAGATTAAGGGTGTAACAACAACTAATTTTATAACAACTCATATTTACTATCCCTTGTTTATGCTACAAAATTCAAGTGGAAATTCTTAGTTTATATCGCAGCTTGTTTAACGAACAGCTAGACAGATTCATGTCAGTCATTTAAATCATAAATAAAACGTCTAAATTAAGATAATAAGATACTAAATCTTGATTACCAACAAGTTACGATTGTGTACTGTAAAAACGGTGGGATATATATCTCTATTTGAATACTATTATAACTTTGCAAATATATCAATACCTTGAAATATAGTCATTATTGTCAATAGTAATCGTCAATGTAATTTAATCATACTTTTTTACTAACCGCAAAAACGAAATCGGGTAACTTTGTTTTGTTTACTGACGAAAACGACGCTCACTTACCGAAGTATTTTGCAGACATAGGTATAAAGTTAGTAAGGAAATTGTGTTACTTAATGAAATTGAAGGCATTTATTCTATTTTTCATCTAAGTTCAAATCGAATATGCATTTGTGATCATATATACTGAGGTATTACAAGAATAGCCTTACATATTGGGATAGAAACCAATGTCATCTAAAAAAATAACAGTTCAAAATGCTTCGCAATTATTGTCATGTAAGTTTAGTTTTCAGGGTCATTGTGCACATGAGTGATTAGTAATATGCATATTACAACATTTTGGATATTCATCTCTTCTGTATAAAATAACTTCACATGAGTTAAAATATCTTAATGGGCATGTTACAGATGAGTTTTCTAGCCAAATAACTAAATTAAGTAAACAAATAAGTGACCTTATGATAATAAATGTCATTTGGTGATCTGATCTGTAAAAAAATCGCTCTCGATTCACAAAAATTATGTTTAATTAAATTATAACTTACTATGTCTCATCCTCTTTTCGATACTAAAATATAGCTTTAAGGGAACACTGACCTGCGTTGTGTTTTTTTATGATACATGAATTAAAGATTTTATGAGAGAGCTGATAATAAACAGGATTATTTTGTTGGTTGACAAGACTAACTTAAGTAAACAGAATAAGAGCATATGAGTTTGTGAAATATTACCATGTTTACTGTTTCATTAATTGTATCCATTTTACATTCATAACAAGTACCTACTGAAAGTTTTGTGTAAATCTACTCATCTTTTAATGAAAAAAATAGTTGCTTAAGTTTTATAACGACACTGGATTATGCTTTAATGAAATCACGTTTAATGTTCGTTATTAAACGGGATCCATGTATCATATACGTAAAATTCTCAAACATTTTTCGCTTAGTTAATATAATTTTCGACCATTTATAAACACTAAATTATTTTATTTGGTTGCAGTAATGTTACTGAATATCAATAAGTAATATAGTTGTGATTAAGATTTTTGTTCACAATTATTCCAATTATTCCAATAGTAGCACATAGTAATCCAATCGAATCAACAAAAATTACCACGATTAAAAATGGTGCAGGAATAGATTATTCAAGTTTCGAAATATACTCATTTATATGACGACTAATAAAATGGAAAATAAATTATCATCCAGAAAACAAATTAATATTTCTAGTTCCAAAATATAAATGAGTTAACGTTAATAAGCCCATCGGTTGATTTTAAAAATGAAGTATCCACTTTCAAATGGAAGCAAATGTAATGGATAGTAGTGGAAATTTAGTCATACAGTGTATCTAAGATATCTTCCTAAACAGGTTCTGTATTTTAAATGTAAACATTTTGAACATAATTCAATTATTTCTGACCTGTCATAGATTATTATAAGCGAATTTCAGTCACTTAATAAATAATTGTGACATTTGTATGACATTTTCAGTGGCCATAAACGAAAACAATCCATTTCATTGAAATAAATGGCAGGTTTTCTTTGTTCATCATTTTATAGATAGAACAGAAAGTCTTCACACTATACACAGAGTCCTTTACTCATTTCAACTTTTATAAATTTCTATTGTAATGCACTTGTGACAACCATGGGTACATATATACAAAATAATTCATTTTTTAAGCCATTTTGTTTGCTATACTAAACTACAGTACATTCTTAGTGTTATAGGAAGAAGTATACATTTTGTTGTTCCCTTTTTAACCTAAATTTTCTGTTATTTTACAGAAAGGATTACATTTGTATCTTGCTTTATTTTCCTAAAAATAAACAGTTCATTAACATAATATTTTATAAACAGAACTTAATTTAAGTGCACAGTCTAGCATATGTCCAACATGTTTTTCAACAAAATTACCTGTCAACCAAATGTACCACATAGTAGAAAAACAAAACAAAAATTTGTATATTGATAGACAAATTAGAAGACATGGCCATTTTAGTTATTTATATCAGACATCCCTACAAACATATATATATATATATATATAATTTACAAACTTCATTTCATAGATGACTGTGTATGATTTCATTGTTGTTTAAAATTACTTGATATTAACCGTGAAGAAATTCGCATGATAACCAGTTACTTTTCTTCATTCACTAGGTAAAATCCAAAAACAGCGAGTTTAATTTTATAATCAAGTCGAAAACGTTCGAAAACATAGTTATCAGTAGTTTTTTATCAGAAGGGGTTTTGTCGAGATTACTGTAATCCACGACCTCGCATCGCGGGACGAGCACTGCTGAGGAGTCTCACAATAGGACGAAATGGTCGTCCAGTGCTCCCAGGTTTTCCATGGTGGTCTAGCTTCAATTAACTCATAATCTCAACTGTCGAAAGTTTTTTTATCCCAGAATCCAAAAAGCATTGAAATAATTCACTCTTATACTTTCGTTATTTATTTTTGTTGAAGAAAGCAGATTTAAATGTAAAAGACAGAAAACTTCCTAAACCGAATAAAACAATCTATAAGTGGAAATCACTGAAGATATTTAGCATGACAAATCATGACATCGTAGTTCTTTTTATTTAAGTCAAAGATAGATGGAAAGTTGAAAAAACATAATTTAAAAACTTGATACAAAACAGTGATCTTTTGACCCCCTATTCATACTCGGTGTTAGTTATATTTGAACAACCAGGGAAATTTGAAACAGTTACATAAAAAGCTCATCTCAAAACATTTTCTGTAGTCCATTTACAAGTCTGCACTGTGTACATTAAAGCTGTGGGTCGAAATTGTAGCAATAATCTCATAACTCAAAGAAATTTTGGTAGATAATTTTTTTTACTATGAACCTGTATTTTACAGCCTCACCCAATCGCCAGATAATTATCTATGTGTCTCTAATAGCCTCGCTTACTTGCTACTTTTAAATGATGGGTGTTCATACTTTTTATCAAGATTAAAACGTAATTTTCCAGTGGTAAAACTGCCATATCCTAGGCACCTTTTGACGAAATTTACATTAACGACCTCAAACAAAATGTATCAGTTCTCTTGTAACATAATACCGTCTAAAATTTCTGGATACACTTTTGAACTGTAGGATAATGTTGATAGGCAGCAATGTTTTTACACTACTGACTGAAACGTATATAACAGCATTGTAGATATATATTGGTAATTAATCTTTCTTTTCTGTCATTATAGCAAATGGTATGCAACAACCAATTAAATAAAGTACATTCATGCTAAAACGAATTTTTAACACTTTAATATGGCTGGTTGTTCAAATATGTAAACCATTTTGTTCACACATTTTTGGTTGCCTTTATTCAACAGCCAAATTCTACTTGACAAGAAATTCTTATTATTCTTACCCACCCCCCAGGTTTATACACATTTGGTTGACTTTGATATTCCTTTTAACTTTAAGATAATTGTTTCATAGCATGTATTTTTAGCTTCGTCTTTCTGTCCCTCAAAACTGTAAAAACAGGACCTAAGGCGATGAATAACGCAAGATATTTTTATGGTGCAAGTTTGGCTACTCATAAGTAGATGAAAAATAAAAACAAAATATATTGACATTACTAATACACAGATCCTTAAGATTTTAATAACTTATTTAGAAATAATATCCTTAATTTCTATTGAAAGACTAACTCCATTCCGCTGAATCATTTAAAGAAGTACTTCATTTCTTTTTTTTAATTTGTTGAAACTTTTCCATTCTGTATTAGTTATTTTTAATAATCTAATGACTCTTATAGGTCCTACACAAATTTCATGATATGTAAACATTGAGACTACTTAACAATTAACCAGCAATCATTTTCGGTAAAATCTCACTATATTATCATATTTAGACACATCGAAGTAAAAAAATTCTTTCGAGGTATTATTTTTTGTAATCATATCACAGAAAGTACTAAAGGATCATTGAAGTGATACTCAAACGGAGATAGAAATGGAGCTATGAAGGAATAATAATTAGGTTAACGGTAAACTCATTAAACATTTTACAGTTCTCATCGATTCTCTTAGGTCTATATTAATCGGTACTAAAAAAGAACGACCAACATTTTAACCCGAAAAATCTTTAATTGATCTATATATTGTACATTAAGTCATAAAGAAATCGAGAATACATTATTAGAATAAAGCAGACACCGAATAGAATTGTAGGATTCTCATTAAAGCATATGTAAGCTACTTACCTACGCAAGCTAAAGCCAAGCATGCATGAGTTATTTATGAACTCGAAGGTGATATTAACAATCTTATTATTTGAATATATATAGAAAGATTAATTCACTGGTGAAAATAAATTAAATGGATTTATATTTTATATGGTCAAATAAAGCGTAATCCATAGTGTTATCAGAAAAGTATTATTCGCTTTAACATGTCTTATACACTTCTGGGCTCATTCTCAAATATGAATGCAGACAAAGTGTGGAACATTATTCATTAGACATGAAAATAATAATCAGTTTTCCTTTTACCAATGTAAACAGAAGCAAAAAATATGACTCACAAAGAGCACACATAATTACATTTATAATTAACATTTACAAACGATAATAATAATGACGTTAAATGTGATTTCTAGAAATAATTCTCAGACAAACAATCAGCTCATCTTCATACGTGTACTATGTTTAGACAAAATCAACCTATTTTTGGCGCTCTAACTGAATATCTATGCAAACAGATGTTCAAAAATCCGAAAATCAGTCAAATTGAGTCTAAAATAATTACTTTTTTATTTGCTTCTCCCTAGTATTAGTGTATTTAAATGTTTTTCATACTGTCAAAATGGAATATGGTGTTTTCTATAAACAATATTTTATGAAAATAAATTACTAGGCGAAGATTAAAAATAAAACTATAGCTTTCCATGATTAGATTTGTCCCCCGTGACAGTATGACTTTAACATGGATGAGTCAACAAATAATCACATTTATCAGATCAAAACTCACTTTACGCTTGCATTATTTTATACTAAAAGATGATTTGGTGTTAAAACTCAAAGTTTCATTAATTAAATAAAAGAAATGGGGAAAATAGTTCCAATAAGTTATTTAGGAAGAATAACACAGAACCCCTTTCTAATTAAATGAGACTGTAGGCCTTCTCACAAAATTATACTTGTACAGTGACGATTTTCTATAGTAGAATAACCATGATTCATTTATTTAGACAGTTACTGACAGTCAGTTCGTTAATCAATCGAATCGCAGATTATCACATATTTTTGTGGTTAACTGATATTTCCTGTAAACATATTACTCTCGATTTGTTTCTTTAAATGACCTATATTATTTTAAGCATTGTAAATTGATTGAATTTCGCTATACTCTATGTTTACTTTGTTTATTCTAAGTAACCTGAGTTTATCAACCAATTTTAGTCATTTCTAAATGGCAAAACAATGGAGATGATAAACTATCATCACTGGAATATCCAGTTAGAAATTATGGTGTTAATAATTTATAAAAATGTCCACTTGGATTACAACCACTACCTTCCTCACGTATTGTTTAAATGTACAGAAAAAAAAATCAATATCACCATAGATGGTAGGAAATTAGTTCTACTACTCAAAAAGAAAGAGGTTTACTTCTTAACTCCCTTATTAGAAATCCACGTGAATATGATAGGTGAAAATGTTTTCTGTTTGCATTAAACCACAAAATAATGTTTAGTATAAACATGAATTGTAAAAGTAGATTTCTTTAGCAACACAACTTGTATACTTAACTGTGAATAAAATTTAAAAGATGAGTTTAAGAATTTGTTTATATACTGTAAAACATGTTTGTTTCATTTTAATCAAAACTAATTACTTGAAGTCTATTATAAAATTAAACAAAATAGACAGATATTATGAATTTGGTTTTGCTTGAAAACAAAACAAAAAAAAACAGTTAAACACTACAAGCACTTTTATAACTATTGTTGTAATCAATTATCACATGAAAGTGATAGCAAAATGAGTTCAGATTGTTGAACTTATTAATTATAATGTAAACACTTATGTTTAGAAAATGAAAACGTTTATAGGTTAACAATATTCTGTAATATTATAAACTAGTGGAAAAATAAAGTGTTCACCTTCTTCATAGTGACCTATAAACTGATCTATCAACTACGATATGAGTATGGTAGATAATCTTAAAAAAAATTATTTAGTTTAAGAAAAAGTTAACAGACTTATAAAAAAGGAATAAGTTATATATGAACAATCTGAAGATCAAATATCCGCCTTCTATGAAGAGATTTAGTATATTGAAATCTATACGTTGTAGTTGTAATTGAGTAGTTTGATAAAAAGTCTCTTGATGTTTAACAAGGTGATTGAAAAACAATGCTGATGCATTTTAACAATAACAATGTTTGGTAATTCTTTACGGTTAGTTTAAAAATATTACACAGAAAATGTTTTTTTAATGTGGGAATTTACTGATTGTCAAAAATTATACTATCACGAATACTGAATACATAAATATGATCTGGTGAATTTAAGAAGTCTGAAGGTATCGTTACTGTTTTCAAGCTCATTTATCACTGAA